GTAACACAGCAGAAATGAAACTGCTTGCCTAGACATGTCTGGTCAGAACTAGGCCAAAGCCACCCCACTGTCAGTAACTCAACTCGACCCTCACACTTTGTCCTCCGGAGTGCTCGCTGCACATCTTGGGGCCTGCTCTAGTTGGATCTGGGCAACTTCTGAAAGCCCAGGTGTTAAACAGAAGGCTCGGTAGGTCCTGTGGGGTCACTGGACGTGGTAGGACCTTTAAGGAAGGAGTAGGATGAGTTAGAAGTTGCCGTAGGGGCTCGCCCTTGGTGGGGTACTGAGACCCTGGACTCTCTTTTCTGCTTCCTGACTACCATGCGGCGGGCACCTTCCTCTGCCAGGCCTGCATGCCACAGGCCCTGAAGCAGCAGAGCCAACCAGCCACAGAACCAGACCTCCACAACTACGAGCTGTTCTCAAGTTGTACAGTGAGGCAAAGCTGAGGAGCACAGCCCTCGGGTGCATCCAACTGGCAGGGGCAGGCCCAAGGCCTAGGGTAAACCCAGGGCCCTGCATTCCTGTCAGGTCATCAAACATCCATCCACCCAGCTGTGCAGACGGGCCAGCCTCACGCCAGCAGTCTAACCATCTTCAGAATTCCTGTGGAAACTATCTCGACACATTTACATAAAATTCCCCTTTTATACTCGATGGGCACCCGTAAAGAAACCCTATGGCTAGGAATCTCTAGGAATTGTGCTCAGGGTATACAAAGCAGCAGGTCCCAGTGAAGCTGCGGTGGAACTGCTGCCCACGTAGGACCTGTGGTTGCCAGGCAGGAGAGAAGTCTGAGCGACGCCAGCTGGCCACTCACAGGATCCCTGAGTGGACGACAAGAGTCAGGCTTTGCGGCTACTACGCAATATTTGATTGGAATGGCAATAGCACACCAATTTTCCTAGGGGTCTACCTAGGAAGACAAAATGCAGATGGGCATGTGGTGAAAACGGGACAGACACACTTCCACCAGAACAGCGTGCCACAGTCTGCAGAGAAGAGTGAATTAAAGGGACAGAAGTTTAGTCAAGGACCTTCACCCAGATGAACAGGAGATCTTGGAGAACCAATCCCACACACACGTGGCATGGCCACCATCCAGCTGCCCTCAGTAATTACCCTACACTGGGACACCAAGGAATCAATAGACAGACACTAACCCGCCCCACACTGCTAGACTCACAGGAGGCCTTATCCAGAGATGCAGCTAATTAATAGCTAAAATCAGGGCATCAAACCAAGCCCCTGGCCAATGATAGATGCTCAAGGAACTGCACACACAGAAAAGAGGCATCAGATACATGATTCTATTCTACTAAAATTCTCTAGGAATGGGAAGCAGTTCTCTAGTTCTCTAGGAATGGGAAGCAGCGATGCTGGACAGGGAGACGTTCTGCAGCTGAATGGGCAACGTTCAAGACCACAGCTTCACAAGGCCGGGTGGCGGGCTCTAAAGGCAACACTTCCCTTTGCTACTGAGAGGTCTCTAGAATGCATCCTTACATTCGACCAGACCCTCTTGCTGGGGACGTGCTTCCAGGAGTCACTAGGACCTGCTTTGTCACCTACCATCCTGACAGGGAAGCGGGTGCAGAATTCACAGGGTGAGGCAGCTCAGCCTAGCAGGGCCCGAGAGCTCGGCGCTCTGCTGCAGTTCCAGAGCCGACCTCCACTCCGCAAGCCACTGCCTCCCTGGCTCACCTGGAGCTGGAGGAGCATGCCACACAGCCTGGGTGTGTCTGAGCTGCTGCCAACCCACCTGCTCCTCCACTGGCTTCCAAGAAAGGGCCAGCCCATGGCTTGCTACTGTTCAGCTTCCAAGGACATTAAAGCTAGGGGACAGAGGGATAACCAGAGACCTAGAGAGCTGTGCATCCTGGTCAGCAATCTGTGGAGCGGGCTTTGGGTCACTGTCTGCCAGATGTGGGAACAGCGACTGCCATCACAGCACAGGGTCCACCTCACCCAAGGACACACTGTTCAGGCGTTCGCAGCCCAGAGGGCAGGGGGAGGCACTCCAAAACCCCGATTCTTGACTGCACGCTGCCGCCCTGGGTGACGACTCAGCCATGAGACAGATGGGCCATTTCATAAAGCAGAGAAATGCTTGCATCGACCACCAACAATGACTGATCTGGGAAGTGGTGCTAAGCCGGGAGCGGGCAGGCCCCCATGGGTGAGAGGCAGGGCTGTGGGAAACAGCACTGGAGCAGCAAGGCCTGGTTTCAGGAAGAAATCCATCAGAGGGCAGAGCACCTGGGCTGGACCTGCACCCCACCTCCCCCTTCCTGAAGCTCCCTTGGGTTCCACAGGGACAGGGTTCCATGACCAGGCTGCAGGTGAGCCAAAGGCAACTCTCTGAGGCTGCGGCTGAGCACCGGTTAGATAAGGTCAAAACAGAAGAGGCCTGGAGGGTGGCCCACCAAGGACCCCCTCCAGCAAACGCTCCAGGCAGGGGTGCCAGCTGCCATGGGCTGTGAAATAAGACAGTATTGTTTTCCATGTAAAAATCTCAAAGCATTTTCAAAAATGAGCTTTGTGTGTGTGCACACAAACACAGACGCCCAGAGATGCAGACAGAGGGACACACTTCTGCTCGGCTCCCATGACAAAGGCAGTGGCCAAGGCAGGCTGCTGTCCTTGCCCTGCACACGCGCCCTGCAACGTGCCCCCTCCACCTGGTCACCCTGAAGCTGCTGTGGAAAGAGAACCAAAGACCCGTGCACCTGAAAGACTGTCCATCACATCATAGGTTGAACCTATGGGGAAATCGCCAGTGACCCAAGCTCAGACGAGCTGGGAAGTTGGAAATGCAGCCCAAGTGTGCGAGGACACATGGGACGAACTTCACCATCGGCAGGATGACGAGCACACCTGCCCAATCACAGAAGGGCGAAAGGCCCGGCGTGTCCAGCAGGCCATCGGATCCTGCACATGGCAAATACATTCCCACCATGTGACGATGACACCGTCCTCGCTCTCTGGGTCTCTGGGAAGCGCTGTAGTGCTGCATGTTCAAGTTCACGTTCTCATGGGCTCTCCCTGGATGGATCCCTCCAACTCGGATCATTTTTCCTTTGATTTCAAACTACATTCTGCTGCCAGGAGGTGTCTGAACTTGGCCTAGCTCACCTTATCTCCACATCTGAACTCAGCCACAGTGAATCCTTCCTCCAGCCTGAGGGCCTGTGAACCCTCTTGACCCCGAGGCCCACCACTGCAGGGGCCACAGCCCCCCCTCACAGGGCCCGAACTTCTCATGCTCTGTTCTTTGTTCTCTGGGGTGTGTTGGTTGGGTGGTGGTCGGATTTCTTGGTTTACTGGGGATCAAGCCCAGGAGCTTTGTGAGGCAGGCCCTCCACCACTGGGCTACACCCCCAGTCTCCTTCAAATTTTACATCGAGACAGGGTCCCACTGAGCTGCTGAGGCTGGCCTCAAACCGTGACCCTCCTGCCTCAGCCTCATGTTGCTCTTCGGAAGTCCCTGGAAAGTTCATCTCCACACCTGCATCTGTATGCCAGGACTGTTCTGTTTCCGTTAGCCCCATCTCCCCAATTAAACTCCAAGTCCTTAACAAGGACTCTGCTACGTCTATATGCCACCTAATACAGTCCCAAGCAGGAAGGGGGACAGACGAATCTTAGTGAGTGGACAAAAGAGCCTGATGATGGGTGCAGGCTCAGGGTGGCGCTGGTGTGAGCCATGCCCACCCGGAACACCCGCCCCAGTTCACACAGGCAGGAGGACCTGAGGGCACCACACTGAAGGGACAGCAGGACGTTGCTTAACTTGCTGGCAGCAGAGAGGGCCTCCCAGGCATCCTGGACGAGGGGCATCCAGCGCAGCAGACCAGACCACAGCAAGAAGCAGCCCATCACCCCCAGCTGCCACCTCCTGGCTTCCCTCTCCTCTGGGCTCTTCTGCACCAGGTCTCAAGGCCACCTCTGCAGTCACTCCACACACACCCCTTCCTGTTCAGACAGCTGCGTTCCTCACAAGAGCATTTCAGACAAGAAGGGACCTCAAGGTGACATCACTGCCACTCTGCACATGACACTATAGCACATGTGGGACATCTGTGGTGATGTTTCTGACCCACCTGACTGATGTGTGGTTCACACAAACGTCAGCACGTACAATTAGAAAGAGGGTGATGGTGGAGTGACTACGGGCTGTGCCATTGTTTGCAAACATCGTCCACTTTCCAAATCTTACTGTAAGATAAAGGTGTACGACAGTCCTGCTAGCAGCAACCTCGCACACCTGGCCTTGACTGCACCTCTGCCAAGGGACAGCTGTGGCAGGCAGGTCTGATCCTCACTAAGCAGTGTCACCTAACATGCATTTCTCAGAATGAATCCCGTCCCTGAAGGATGGAACTGTACTTAGCCTCCCAAGCCACCTATATTCAGTTCCTGGTACTGGCCAGGAAACTGCCCGAAATCACGACCTCCGTACCCTACCTCCTCAAGTCTGTCCAGTTAGCAAATCCTCATCACCAAGACCACCTCAGATTTCCAGAGCAGGAAGGCCACCAGCCCTTCCCCGGCCAGCCTGTGACCTGGAGCTGCCCATCTCTGGCAGCCAGACTCCTACTCTTGCCCTTTATTTCCCTTTTCCCAAGACCTCCAACACTCGAGGGGAGATGGTTCTGCGTCATAAGGTGCGTCTTCTCCATTTCACAGAAGGGATTTCTACACTACAGCCACCTGCTGGAGTCACAGCAGCTCATCACCAAAGCTCTCACAAAATCTTGTGACCATCCCCCTGGAGACACGCGCCGTCCTGCCTACAGCTCGGGCCTCCACAGCACAGGAAATGTACCCTCATCTCCATCCACGCTCTAGCCCACCTGAGACTGCTCTGCTGTGCGAGTGGCCTCTTTGCCCATGAAGAGTTGGGCGCGTGGTGAAGCACCCAGAGCTGGCTCTGCTGCCACCTGGGCATGAGCTCATCCAGCTCTCTCCCCCTCACCCCATCCTCGGGGAGGACCTACCATGCCCATTGTGAACGTGCTTGTGGGTTTTTCCTTTCCTGGGGGTTGACTGGCATGAAGATGAAGCATTGTTGGTGGCTGTTTTAACGTCTTCTGTCTCGTCATCTTCCTCCTCGACGTCCTCCTCATCCTGAGAGCTTCCAAAATAAACCATACTGTTGGGCAGCGCGGGAGAACCTGGTGGGTAAGGAAAGACGAGATGTGTAAGAGGTTTAAAAACCAGCCTTGATGTTCACCCCTTCCAGAAGGAGACCCCAACGGAGGACTTGCAGAGCTACGAACCCAACTCCTGCCAATGAACCTATTCATACAACTGCCACTTTGAAATTTTCAAATATTCTCCAGAAAAATTTAACTTCATCTATGACCTTTTAACAATTAAAAAAAAAACAAACCTCCTGCTAAGAAAGAGACTAGTCTGCAATATGCATTTAACTTACTAGACTTTTAAAACGAAAGAAAAGACAATCAGAGAAGGAAGTAATAAAAACAGAATTTAACATTCATTCACTGCAGGGCAGGGGATGGAACCAGGGCCTTGCACATGCTAGGCAAGTGCTCCACCCCTCAGCCACACCACCAGTTCCCGGCTTGTTTGCTTCTATAAACATCGCTGTCTGGTATTCATGCTGAGGGAAAGAGAGTTGCAGATTCTCCAAGACCCTAATGCACTTAGAAGCTACACTGATATGATTAGGCTAATGGGATGTAAAATTATTAAAATAAATTCCTGCACAGTGCTAGAAAGTGCTGGATTTAAGAAGAAAACATTCTCCTCAAAGACATTGACGCACTTTCCCTCTCTCGCATCTTAATGGCCCCACCTCCAGTGCTATCATTTCTGTACTTTGGGGGGCACAGCACCAGAACAAGGTCCTTATCATACAGAAGTGCAAGACAGTTCTTCCTCATCAGAAGGACACTTCAGAAGGAGGTCACTTGGGTCACAGGTACACTCTGTAGGCTAGAGACTGCTAAAATCCAAAGGTAATCTTCAGTCTTCTCTCAGTTGTTCCTGGGACAGCTGCCCTCAGGGACTGAGCGTGTAGGCTAAATCTCTCCTCTTGCCCAACGCGCCTGTGCGTGAGCTAACGCTCCGCAACATCAGATAAATACAAGTAGCCAGGTGCCCTCCTTCCCAAACTTCACATCTGATGGTGAAAACCACCCGTCCAGCGTGGAGACGGCACGCCCTTTAACAAGGAGACAGGATGAATGAGTAGCTCCAGGGACCTAGCATGGCAAACCTAAAACGCATGGCAAACCTAAAACGCATACCCCAGAGATGCAGACTGACACCCTTGCCATCCTCCCTTCTGCTGCAGCTTCCCACCAACCACCAGGACACACATCCCCAGGCCGAGACAGCCAGAAATATGACCCCGGCACGTGACAGAACTGCAGCTCGTCCCCGGGCTTCTCTGTGCTCGTCTCTCCCCAGTATCATTTCCACTCAGAATCAGGTTCTCCAGAGAAGTTCCTAAACCTGACCTAGACTTGAGAGGAAACTTTTAATCAAACAAAAGTAAGACAGTAAATAAAGAATTAAGAATTTACAGCTGGGCCTGTAAATCACAAGCCTACAATCCCAACGGAGGGGGCGGAGACAGAAGGATTGCAAGTTTGAGGCCAACCTAGCAACTCAGCAAGAAACTTACTGAGACCCTTTCTCCAAATACAAAGGACTGGAGATGTGGTTCAGTGGCTCCGGTTCAATTCCTAGTATCCGCCCCCCACCAAAATAATCTGAAGAAAATACCTAGTTACAGTTTCATCTGTACAAAGTATATATTCTCATCCTAAACAGTTTTATAATTAGTGCAAGACTGGCCAGGGAAAAGGAGACCCCACACTTCCTGGCTTCCTCTTGGGGGTTTCCTCTCAGGAATGGCCATTCTCAGGTGGGTACAGGGTCCCTCCACAGCCACATTATTTTGTTATAGATCCACGTCATTCCAGCACACCACAAATACACATGCCAAATAAAATACTGCGTGTTCCGTGGCAACCCTAGACCACACATCCGACTTGGCAGCTCTGGCCACTTGTACACAAATTCCCCTCATCTGCAAACTCGGGGGCTTCTACATTTCTTTTGAGAGCAGCCTTCCTACCCAGCATGTGGCACAGTGAGAAGGACGGGGTGTCAGCACAGCAGGGCTGCATGCTGGTCCTGTAGTAACATTTGCTGAGCCCGGCAGAGCCAGGCGATGTGCCGTGGACAGCCTCCTCTCCCCCCAGCAGAAAAGGCAACTGAGGCTCTCAGGGAGGGATGTGAAGACAGGACAGCAAAATCTGATTCAAAGAGAATCAGGTAGAAGTCCACATGAAGCATGTAAAAAACATGCAAGGAATTAACTTCCTAACTCAAACCCTACAAAAGCAGCACGCAGCAATTCACTTTCCTTATATGCAAGATGCTCAGAGAATGAGGCGAACGTCAATTCTGTATCCCAAAGAACACTGCTGCTGTCCTAAAAGAAGTATGCATTAGTCAGCTTTTGATTACTGTGACAAAATACCTGACAGACTACTTACAAGAAAGGGGGTGTTATTTCCTGCACAGTTTTGGAAGTTCAGAGTTCAAAGTTCAAACCATATGTGCGGGCACAGGTTTGGGCAAGGGGCACACAGAAAAACCCCGCTGGGAAGTCAAGACTCAGTGTCCAATGGGACAGGATTGCTCCTTTTATAACAACTCTTTCCATGAGCTACCAACAGGTCCACAGGGACTACTTAAATCCTTCCAGGGACAGGGTCCCCACCAAGACCTACTTATAGACCATCCACTTGGCCACAGCTTTAAAGTTCACTTCCTAATCAATCCACAACCCTGGAGTCCAAGCCTCTCATCACAGGAGTCTTTGGGGGACACTTAACCCATAACCAAACCTTTCCTACACACAGTAACTTCTTCAAAACCAGGGGAACACAGCCAATCTTATGAATGAATCTGTTTTTGCATCTTCTTAGCAGGTGAGAGAATGTAGGACAGGAAGCAGAGGACCTTGGGGAGGAGTGGCACCTCCTTGGAACTTGCTCTCAAACCAAAGGCTTTTGTACCAAGCAATGTGACCATCCAGTCAGAGATGCCAAAGCACAGGATCTCCTCGACGCATGGGCACACCAGGGATAAAGCGGACTGCCTTCAACCTAACAGGTGATTCTGACTACTCAGATGAAAACGTTGGCCTGGACCTAGAGGTGCAAAACCCAGTCGGGCCACACACAGCCTCCTGAGAGGAGGAGGAATGTGCTCACCACTCGGGGAGGGCCTCCGCGCACGGCTGCCTGACAAGTACCAAGGCAACACGGCCCCTCTGAGCTGGAGAGGACCTGTTCGTCAAGTGTCCTTCTCCAAGATGCCACTGCCAGTCCACTTCTGCCCATGTAACACAGGGATTTGAGAACAATGAGCACCTGTCCCAGAAGGCAGCCGTCCAGGACCAGGCTGGGCCTCCTCTGCACCTCACCAACCTTGTTAATGCCCCACAGGAACAAAAGACCGACTCCAACAGTCTCGCAGTGCTGGCCCCACACTGTGCCACCAGGCTGCTGTTGGAAATCCCTCTAGGAATCCCACTGGCATGTCCGTCTGCAAAGGGACAGAGGCCAACGAGCACTCCAGGTTATAAGAAGTCACAGCTCCAGCCAAAAGAAGTACAGGCCTCTCGCTTTGTCAGGGCAGAATCAGCAAGATCATCTCTTCTTACACGCCCAGCTTTGGGTCTGGAACACCTGCCCAAAGCCCGTGTGTGTGTAAATCACAGTCCCAATGCAGCCAGGTTCAGAGGTGGGGCTTGGGGCAGTGACTAAATCCCAGGAGTCCCGACACTGTCTGGGATTAGCTCATCACATGTACTCATTGGTGACAGCTGAACGGTCGACGGGGAGGTGGACCCAGCTGAGGAAGCCATGCACTGGGAGGGTTCAGCTCCTGTCTCTGCGTCCTGGCCATCTCCAGTGAGCGGCCAAGTACGGACTGCATGGAGTCCTCTGAAACCATGAGCCAAAATGAATCTTTCTTCCTCAGCATCCTGGTCACAGTGGCGAAAAGCTAACTTGCACGTTGTGCACCAAGATGAAAACGATCGAGGCGAGGGAAGAACAGCGACCACTGCAGCACAATCCCAGCAAATGGCTCAACCACCCCAGAAACACAGAAGGGAAAAGCATCTTCAAACCACTTACTACAGAAAAGTTCCTCCCCACCTAGGAACAGGCTTGATCAACTCACAGCTGAGTGCAGAGGGGGACGGGGTATAAACACAACAGGAAGGAAAGGGTATTTCAAACCCTCGGGGCAGAGCCTTGGTCTGGCCACTTGGTACTGGGGGAAATCAATCTTCCCATGCTCCGCAGTATGAAGGGGTGAGTGGGAGTCCTCCAGGAGCACAGTGCTGCAGGCTCGATGCAAAACTAAGTAACCTTTAATCTTTCTTGTACCACTTGCAGAGGCTGGCACATGGGGTTGGCTTCATAACTGGGAATTTTATTAAAGAAACTCCAGTCCTCCAACATCACACGAGACAGTCTTTTGAAAAGCTTGCTGTAGGAAGCACCTGGGGCAGGGAGACTGAACCTGCGGGACAACAGCCAATAGCGAGGAGAAGCAGGAGTCAGGGGTTCACAACCAGAAAACACCTTCAGAAAAGGGACCGTCATGGAAGGATCACCAACCCACTGTGGCAAAACACCGGCAGGTTTGTTAACCAAGGGAGTCTCGAGAGGGGCCCAGGCACCCCCACATCCCTCCATTCTCAGGGCAGACTCTCCATGTTAAGACACAACCCCCTCCATGACATCAAGGTTATAAGACAGACTGACTTATCCTATGGAATCGCATCATCTCTCTCCTGTACAAGCTCTACAGTTTTAAGAAGCAATCAATGGAAGGCGAATGTTTTAGCCGGTAAAAGGGGGGTAGGGGTGTGTGTGACACAGGACAGCGTATTTTATACTCAGTGATGATAGACACAGTTTCCTATTAAAATCACAAGCATATTTTCTCCCGCGATTATTCAAGTGCATTAGCAAATGTGAAAAAAAATCTGAACTTGGATCAGATAAGAGAAATCAGGAGTACAGCACGCATCTGCGCTTTGCCAAAGCCGTATTTCATTACTTTTCAGAATTAGCTGGCAATGTCTCCACAATATTTACTGAAATGCAAACCA